GATCAGAAGAGAGGTCCAAAATTTGGAATGTTAATTTCATTTTTTGCATATTTCGCCATATCTTTTACGCCATACCTTTTTAAGCTAATTATAAAATGTATTTATCCAAAGATGTATCTATACAAAATATAACTTTTAGTAAATATTTATTATTTTATTTAACAATGCTCGAAAAAAATTTCAAATTGTAAGATATAAAAATTTTTACACCATTTTAAAGGATGCAGTTTTGTATGGCAAAATACAAAGTTTGAGCGAAATCGGTCGAATAGTTTCTGAAAAATCGAATTTTAAGTATGTGACTTTTTTGAAATGCAATTTTTCAGGAACATTTGAGCAAAATTGGTTGCAAAATTTGATGAAAATCGGAAGAAATGTTCCTGAAAAATTAAAAACGACTTTCTAAATATGATTCTAAAATTACTTTTGTAATATGGGCACACATATAATATCTATACTTAATTAAAATTAAATTGTAAACTGGTATCTATGATTTAATAATTTTAGGACATAAAGAATCTGTACACAAACTCATTGTAATAGTTCATTTATTAAAAAAATAAAAATAATTAAGTACAAATACATAATTATAATTTCATTTGGCTTGAAGAATTTATAATTCTGAAAATGTAATGAGAATTTCAGCACATCGATTTTCAACTTTATCCAGTTATTTAAATTTTCCATCTTATGCTTTCATCTGAAATGTAGATGAGATAATTTACATCAGTAACAAATAAAACGAAAATACAATTATTAAATATCATTTACTGTTATAAGATTATTCTGCAATTAACATTAACCTTAGATAACAAAACTTAAATCCTTTAAGCCATTTTTTCGACAAACAGATCATTCGACAATCATTTTTTATATTTCCTTAATTTATGTCAAATAATCATTCTATGTTATAAGATTATTTTGCTATTAACCTTAGATCACTAAATTATTTGACTGACAGACCATTTAACGATTAGTATTTAATATTTCCTTTATTTCTGCCAAACAAATTAGCAATAGTTCAAAAGACATTCCCTAACATGTTGAGCACCGCGTCAGCTATCGGTGACAGACACAGGACTTTCCATTAAGGTCTCCATTTAAGGTCAACCACTGGTGGCTGACACTGAAATTACATTCGTCAACCACCGGTGGCTAACACTGAAATTACATTTAGGCTGCACCTGCCAAGGCTTGCTGACACTGACCTTTCACATAGGCCACGAAAAACAGCTGGCTGACAGCGTATAACATGATATAGAACTATAAAATTTACACTCTTTTATGGAATTACAGAAAATTTATTCAAAATTCACTTAATTATTGTGATTCTTGGTTTAATAAATTCAATTTAGTAAATTTTTATCCACCACTATTTTGAAACAATTCGAAGGCTTGTATAATTCACCACTTTTTTCATATATGTCATGCTAAACCCTTTAAAACTAGCAAAACCTGTCTAATATTTGTTATTTTAGTTTGTAGTTAATTACAGTTTGGCCAGACGGGCAAGCCATGCAAAATTAGGGTGGCGTTCAACGTTCTAAATATTACTTTTAAAATACATATAAGTAACGTTTAAAATCTACTAAAAAGTTAAAGCGTTACAATAGCATCTAAACTTGCCAAAACATGTTCGTTTGACTATGTTTATGTATAGGTTACACACACAATTCAGTTGTTTAGATTTATAATGTGTCAAAGCAGAACTAATGTGCAAAAATGTCATTTTGCAATAGTTCTGCTTTGACACATTATAAATTGAGATAATTCAAATTAGCAAGACATGTACAATATGTAATAATGCATATTTGTACATACTTTGCTACCTTTTAGTAATATTTGTAATTACATCAGAATAAGGAGTTTCCCAAAAAAGGGTATTCTGTACCACATCAGAATAAAGTAAAAGTATAAATTCTTTGTTTCCATCCAAACTATGCAAAACAGTTGGCTTTTTTTTCTAAAAACAATTTAATGCAAATCAATATTTATCTTTATTAGAAGTAAATTTTACTTTTTTTTAATTTCATTACATCCATGTTTTTTTTTCTGTTAATACATTATAATAATTATTAAATTTCTTAAAACAAATACTTTCTTTTTTCCAATTTAATTTTCATAAGCACTTCATACAATATTATACATAATATTTAGTATTTCAATACCCTAAAAAAACACAGAAAATATTGAAAGGATATATACAACCCACAATAATATAAATAAATTTTTAAACTATTTTATAATAACTATCATAGTGATCACCACCAAAGCAGGATGCCAACTACTACGCCTTTTGGAAAATATTTTATGGAAAGAAGACAAGTAAACGCTAAAGCTTACCGAATTTTTGGTAATTTTGCCAACATTTCAGACGCCTCACCACCAGAGAGTTGGATAAAATTAACTTTTTATATAAGCTTCCAAATCATTTAAAAGTAGTGGTAGAAAAAATAACTTTAAATCAAATATATAAAAGACAGAAGAGATACATTAAAGCATAAACTTAGTTACCACTAGAAGAAACTTTTTCAAAAAGTGTAGAAAGTTGGCAGGCCTGCCAATGTTGTTAACCACCATGCAATTCAGTCATGTTTTTCCATGACCAGTGGCATTCTAAATTGGGTGACTCGTGACAAGAGGGGTAGCTAGGCTTTACAATGCCTGGGGACAAATTCAGTTTTTACAGCATTATGATGTGAAACTTTATGATGTGAAACTTGCATTATGATGTGAAACTTTAAGGGGCTTTTTTGGGGTCACTTTAGAATGATTATGTAAAAGCCACCGTACTTGACATTGGATTGTGAAATTTCACTTTAAGATTTTTCAACCTTGAGAAAAATATTTTTTTAAACAATGTAACTTGATAACTTAATTTTCCAGTCTGTTTAAAATTTAATAATTTAAGTTACTCGTGCAGTTTCTATTTCACTTAGATGCTTTTGATTATGGCAATTGTGTTTCATTAAACGATAAGCGTGTAGTCTAAAGGCATTTTTTATTCAATATATTGCCATTTTGTTATAAATAATTAAAAAAAGAAAAAAAACTTCTATTAAAGCAAACTATAATTATAGTAATAGACATCCTATTCAATTTATCACCAAATTGGATAAAAATTTGTAAAAGTTATGGTGCCCTTAATTTACAAATGAAACTGGCGATAGTTAAAAAATGAAAACAGTTTATTTTGGAATTTATTTTCAATTATTTTTCTTAAATTTTGCACCCCTCTAAGGCTGCACCCGTGGACAGATGTCCCCTCTTCACCCCACTAGCTAAGCTCAATGTGCTACATTACACATTCATACACTACAGTACATTTAAGTTTGAGTCAGTTTATTCCATATATGGATCTCGTTTTGTTAATCTATTGAAAAGCTGATAGATATTGCTATTTTCAATAGAGTGAAAGAATAGAAAGAAAAATTTTAAGTACTTTTCTGTCTTAATTGAATGATTTTATTTATAGGAATATAATTTATAACGAATTTCAATCCTAAATACAGTCGAACCTGTTTATCTCGAATCTCACGGGAAAGGCGAAAAATTCGAGATAAAGAGGTTTCGAGTTATACAGGTACTCTAAAAAAATCAAATTTAATTAAGAAATTCTCCTAAAAGTGCTTTAATTGTTTTCAGTAGAAAAACATCATTTCTTTAAATTATATATACCAAATACATCTATTTACATAACAGTTTTTTAACATACATTTAACACTAAAATTTTTTTTTTTAAAGATTTTCGATGTAGAATTTTATTTATTTCGATTATTCTTTTGAGGTTAGAAAGATCGCAAATTCCTCATAGCCAACATTTTCCTGGGATTCCAGAGTAATTTATAAAAATTCTACAGCTTTTTCTGCTTCTTTTGCATTCATTTTTGATTCATTAATATGATCTTCAGCTTATTCCTCTTCATCTGATATTCCTTTGACATTACCTATGATTTCCGCATCTGTCAATGTTCCCCAAGTTGCCAGGCAGTTGTTCACTGGTAAAAATTTTCAAAATTAAAGTCAACATTAAATCCAGATTTTACTGCATTTCATTCTGGCAAATCTCTTGTTCATCATCATCACAGCCATTCTTAAAACTAGCTTTTAAAACCATTTTGGATAGTTTTTAGAGACATATTTCTCCAGGCAAAACAGTAATTCTGATAGCATCTAACTTTTTACATCGATGACATCTACAAGTTTAAGTACCAACTGTTTTCTATAGTTCACTTCAAAACTCTTAATTCCATTTGTAGCAATTTTGAGGTCAAAATGAATTCCTATTCTTAGCTTTTTTATCTATATTGAAAAGCTAATCCCTGATGGTCACTACTTATTAACCCCTCACTTACTGCCAGAATCATTGTATTCCTTTCCAGTTAAGGAAGTGCAGGGATAGTGATTGAAATTCCAAGAAAAACCCCTAACCTGTTCATTCCTACTTCCTGTGGATTCAAGAAATTCATCTCTGTCTACGAATTCGACTGACAAAAATTTTTTGACATTTTTGCTCTATTATTAAAAATTCGAGAAACGGAGGTTTTGAAGAGAAAAATTTCAACATAAACATGGAAAATACATTGATTTTAGACAGTAAATGTAGGGAATTTCAGAAATTTTGAGATAAAGAGGTTTTCCAGATAAAGAGGTTCGAGATAACCAGGTTCAACTTTATTATAAAAATAAAGCAAAAATCTTGTTTATAATACATCTCTGTCCAAAACTATTTAAGTATATACAATGACAAGATATATATATATGATTACTTATTGTTCATTTGCACAAAAATTAACAAAGGAAATTACCTTCATAAGATTTGAAGATAAATTGATACATAAAAAAATCTTAGAGTAACAACGTATTAAGCTCAGTCATTTTTTATAAATATTTAGAGCAGCTGAAACTTACATATTTACCCAGAATACTTTTTATTTTATTTACTTGTTTATTCATTTTATTTAGGAGCAACTTTGAGTCCAGTTATGATGCTTTGAAGAATAAGTTACATAAAACATAAACTGTTACATTTTAGTCATGGCATCTACAAAGTTCAACACAATGCAATAATTTGCAGTTAAAAGGCCTTTTTTTCACCCAATCAAACTCAGCTGTCATAGGGGTTGAGACAAAGGCAGAAATTCGAATTTTTTAAATAGCTTTTTGTTTCATTTTCACAGATAAATTGATGTTGAATATCTTCTCAACTAAACATAAAAAAAATGTAAAATACTAGACCATCACCAATCAGAATTCGAGAAATATAGTATGTGGTATTTTAGATTAATTTGTTTTGTTTTTCAGGCATATTTAAACCAATAAAATTCAGCGATTAACCTTTTTTCAAAACAAGTTTGTAAAGATAACTTAGCGCATATTTCAATTCTGAAACAATGTAGAGATTAAGCAGCAAATTAAAAATTAAGATTTATCTTACTTAGAAAACCATGGAGTAATTTTTTTGTCATTCCAGATAAATTCTCCTCGTGGAGATTCCACACCAGGTGGTAAAAGAGCACAATATACAGAAGCTTCAGCACCTATTAGTTCATAATACATAACAATTAATACATAGACAATTATAATCAATAAATAATACAATAACAATAACTGCATAAAATAAGACTGCATTATAAATAAGACTGCATTATAAATAAATTTTGCAACAAAAAATTTAAAAATTTTGTTAAAAAAATAATTAAGTATACAAAGAAAAAGAGAAAAGCAGGAAGAAAATTAAAAAAAAGGTAAACATACTTTAATTTATTAATATTTTCAATAAACTAAAGCAAAATTGCATAAACTACTCAAAGTAAAAAGAAGAAAAATATTAAGCTTTTTTCAGTTGTATTTTATTATTAAAACCAGTAAAAAAAATNCCATTTCTACTTTCTATTGTTGTTCAAACAAGTGGAACAATAGACTAATTCCATTGCATTAAAAGTTTGTTAGTTTTATGTCTTCATCATAGATTGGTAAAAAGCCAGTTCTTTACATTTTATGTAAATTTAAATGAGTTTATTCAGCAAACGAATTTAATCAGACGCATCCTTTCAATTAACTTTTTAAACTTCCCTAATGTCATACTTAATGTTAACAGTTGTATTTTACTATATAGTTTATTAAACATAATAAACTATACAGTTACTTTATTTGAAATACTGCCATTCAGATTATCAAAACTTCAGCTAGTCCAAAATAAAAAGTTTAAAATTTTTTTTTTTTAATAAAAAGATGCAAGAAATAAGTTGGAAATTTTTAAAATCATATTTATAATACATTTACAAATTATTATAAATATGACTTAGGAGTAAAATGATCTTTTTGGAAGTTTTCTGTTTTTGTAGTTATGTTTAAAAGTATTAAGTGGGCAAGACAAATGACAATCCATTATTATGGAAGAATACTATAGGTGTAGTTCATTTATGTCGCACTAGAACTGCACAATGGGCTCTCACTGACAGTCAGAGAAACATCCCCGAGGATGATCCGACAACATGCCATAGCAATTTTGATCTACTGCGGAGGGGATGGCTCCTTCCCTTTGATAGCTCAACGACCAGCGAGTGAAGTCGAGCACATCAAGGGGTAGAACAGTTTAACGAGGACCAATACAGCACACTTTCGGTCCCTAGGCAGTATGATTCAAGTAGTACACCCACCCGCATACTAACCGCAGTCAGTGATGCTTGACTTCAGTGTCTTAACAATCAGTCCACTGTGGGACGAAGAATTCTATGGAGGTTAGCAATTGTCCAAATATATATTTTTAATTTAATAAATTAATAAGTAGTATAATAATTTTATCACTAAGTTCACTAATATCAGATTACCAAAGTTAAATAAATAAAAATGCAAACATTTTAACAATTTAATAAATATGAAAATTAAAAACAAACAATATGAAAATTAAAAGTCATAATATACTTTTGAAAAAGCAAGATCTAAATGTTTTCTTTTTTTTTTTACATTTATATGTGTTAGATCAGTTATACACATTAGATCAAATATTTAAAAAAAAAAGTGTAAACATTTTTAAATGAAACTTTTTTACATAAACTTACAGCATTAATTACAATATCCATATCAGGATCCTGACTGAATTTGCGATGCTGTATAAATGTAAGAGCATTCACACCATTTTTAGATACTACATATGCAGATTCACCCCAACCTTTCTGGACATTTTCCTCAGCTTTAGCAGCTCTATAATATATGAAAATAGTATATATTAATAAGAGTATATCACAATCGTTTGTCTATAAAAGCATATTTTTCAACCAATGTTACAATTATTTTCTAAATAAATATATAGTTGAATTCCTTAAAACAGGAACAGAAACATAGGGACAGAGTCAATTTGTTAGTAAACTCAGATTGCTTGTTAATCCAGAGTAGGCTAAAATTTATATAAAAATATCTCATAATAGAAATTATATAAATAAGAAAAATATAGTTACTTTTTTTCCAAAAAATAAATTTAAAAGAAAAATGGAACAAAAATGTATAAAATAAATTGTTTTAAAATGAAGTTTTTTTTTTATTGTTAATAGAATGAATAGAAATACAGATTTTCTTTTTCTTTTTTTGAAGAGATATTGAAGTTGATTGCTTGAAAAGAAAATTCATTACTTTAATCTTACACAAACAGCTTTTATTATAAGTAAAATGTTAATATGCTAAAAATCCACAATTAAATAGATCTTCAAACTAATCAACAACTTTAGGTAAATATCAAATAAGTAGATGCAAAAGAAAAATGAAGAACAAAATAATCTTCAATTTAAATAAACAAACTAAATTATACAATTTTGCATTCTGAAACTGAATAATTTTAAATAAATAAATTGCAAATTTTGAAATTTTAAATAAATATGCTTGAACTTTTATGATGTTGAAAATAAGATATAGTAAAAAAAGTAAGTAAATAAATACATCTTACTCAACAAACTCATTCATTAATTTGCTAAGTTCTTCTTCAGTTAAAGATTCAGACAAAAATCTTTGTTGTAATTCTTTTCCCGGTATACGATGTAGCAGACCAGCAGAACTGCTCAAATTTACAACCCTAGAAAAATAAGTAAAGCCAAATCAATAAAAAAAAAACAATAATATTCCTTAAGCTGTTTCATTTTAAGAACTAAAGATTGCT